CTTTGTATTTTGTATCATTCAATACAACATTTTCTTTATAAATTATATTATCAAATGCTGAGATAACCAAAACTGATCATGTTCTCTAGCATAATTTGAGAATTTAGGAACCCTAAAGCAATTAAATCTGACTGTCTGGAGACTTTTTTTTTTTTACCAATTTTGGAACTTTACAGTTTAGACTTTTGTCTAATGTTACTGTGTTTTAAGGATGAATCGTTGGTGTAGAGCATTCATTATTTAGATGTCACTTTGGATAGAGACATCTTCTAAATTAATAAATGTAGAAAATATATATCCCACAAACTAACACATCTTTATAGTTTTATCTGTCTAGATTTGAAAAGTAATCACAGTGAAGTCCAATAAACATTGCATATTTTTGTAAGTTACACGTTCTGATGAACATGATTGTGGACATGCCAAAAAAAAAAAAAAAACTAAAAATGTAATTCACATACTCACATGTGTTTCCGGCAGATTTTTTTCAGGAATGTCTCCTCGCGCTCTTCATGCCTGCACAGTCCTGCTCTTCCTCTCTGCCTGATCATGCTGCATTTCTTCATTGTGGGTGGGACTACTCATGTCAACACGCCTCAAGCCTGCTCTCATTGGTCAGAGCGTCAGTCAATGGCCTGTCAATCACTTGGTATGGTAAGATAACTGTTTTTTTTGTTTGTTTTTTTTAAAGAAGTTCCACTAGAGGTAAACAGGTTTCCAAAAACTCTTCTCATGCCCCTGTCTTCCATTGTTTGTGTAAAATTACACCATTGCTTGAACTATTGCTTTGAAGGTCAGAGCAATGAAACAAAACAGACTGTGTTTGGAATGGAACTGCAGAATATACTGCCAACTATTTTAATAAACTGTATGTAAATCAGAATGCATTATAAACAGTAACAGTGGCACATCTGATTGGCCACCCCATGCTACCTCAAAATTTCATTTGCTGCTGGCAGTTTGCTGACATTTCATTTCACCTTATAAGAAATAAGTATTTATTTTGACGTGTGGTGGCACTGCACATTGTTTAGATATTAACATTGAATATTAAGAGAATATTAATATTGGTTGCAAGATACAGAAGAGTAAGTTTAAAGGTGGTCGCACACTGCATGAGAAGTGCAGAGATGTTCAAAATCCTGAGGCGCCACCAGAGTCCCTAAGGCAAGTCATTTTACATGGCGGCCATCTTTGAAACTCCTCTCGGGCAGATGTTTCAGTCGTGCAAGATCTTTTCGAATGGGGAAACATTCTTCAAAGCTGTTCACCAAGCTTATGATAAAATTTCAGATTTGATATCACCAATGAAATCTGACAACAAATATCTCGTAAATGTTATTTCTTATGATCAAATAGTGTTAAAAAACGTAAAATAAACATTTCAGCCTAAACCAGCCAATGCCCTTGTGCAATCAGAAATGCGCATCTCAAGACACTAATCGGAGCTTCTAAGGGCACCTGCAGTGATGCGACGACTTTTCCAATTAGCGATTGGCTCTTTTAATTTGAAGGCGGGACTATTCCACCATATTGCGCATTGGACTTTCTCCCATTCATAAAGTATTTATAAAGAGTGCAGAGTCTTTGTGCTGTATATCTAAAAGTATTTGGCGCCACTCACATCGTTTTCTATTAAATTACATTATATTTGTCTCACAGCGTTGTTAATGTACATAATGGCTTCACCTAGGCTGGAAGAGTTTATAAAAAAATTTAAAAAATACATTTTTCTTTCTGTGCACTGAGAAAAGTATATGCTTCATATAAAGAGATAAAATAATACAGAATGCCCCTACTCTTTCCTTTTACTTTGTTTTTATGGCAAAACTCTTTTTGAACTTTTTGCCTGTAAAGTGATTAGCTTCGGTGATTAGATGTTGGACTGTTGCCTTAACCTGAGAACGTGGCGTGGCGCTTCTCGTCCAGTGTGCATCACCTTAAGTATGTGGTTTACCATCGGGTTTAAGTTTCCTGAGCGTCTACAAAAGTAGAGTCACACTGTGTTTTGCTTCAGTTAATCAGATAAGACAGACAAGACTGTTCTAAATTTCGCCTAACATACATACTGTACATGTGCTACTGTAGTAATACAAGCAGTTAAGTTACAGTGTATACTTATTAAAAATGACCGTGAATTTAACGGTAAAAGACTAAAAATGCTAGAGTAAAAACCTGTTAAATGGTTAACGGTAAATTCCCCTACTATATACGGTGAAAAACTGTATTGGACATCACATGTATTGGACATTACACGTAATTTTACGGTAGTATACCGTTTTTGGAAGTGAAAAAGACTGTATAATTTACAGTGAATAACTGTAAATTAACATTCCCAGAATTCCCTGCGTTACCTTTCAAACTTGATGTTTTTTTTGTTGAAATAACTGTTTCTTCTTAGTTTTTTCTTATCAGTTTTGTATATTAGGGTTGTGTGTTACATCTAATGTTGTTAAATGAATGTTTATTGCATTATTTCAGTTTCATGTGTGTTACCGTGACGGTGTTTAGCGTTTGTGTGAATGACACTGTGCATCAGTGTATTACAAAGGTACAAAACAGATTTCAGTACTTCAATAGGTTGGTATATTTACATTATATCAGTTAATGAAATTATGGTATTTAACTGTAAAGTTAAAACCGTAAAACCTCAAATGCTGCTACCGTATTTTTTACGGTAAAATTCCGGCAACCACAGCTGCCGTTTTTTTACCGTACATTTTACGGAATTTTTTTTACAGTGTAGGAATGTTTAGCTAATGTGGGGTTTGTTAGCTAGATTAGTGTTTCGCTAATTTTAAGTAAAATGGCTGGTACTTTAAGGTACAAAAGCTAAAAGATGCATCGTTGTACCTTATTTACCCCCAAATTGTAGGCTACATATTAACACTTTAAAGGTACATGTTTTAAAAGTGTACCATCCCAGTGACAGTTTTATACCTTTATTTCTGAGAGTGCAGGATGGAAAGTGATACTGTAATTACAAATTAAAGCGATTACAACTTCAAACAATAGTCTATTAAGAAAACAAGTTTTGTTTGAAACATTTCGATTAGAGAGAGAAAAAGAATTTAAGAAACACCTGAAATTTCTTAATAAATTGCCAGTTTTTATTTTACACGTTAGTGCAAACCAGGAACACAACAAAAATTGTAACATCTGCTTAAATCTAAGTAGCAAATTCATTTCAACGTCACCCTTATACAGCTACATCAACATCTTTAAAACGTGCTAGTTTAACATGTTATACAATACTGCTATTGTACGTTCAGAATGACAGTAATTGACCTGAAAGGAAAAACTCACAGTAGAAGACAGTTCATATTTTGGTTCATGTGGTTTAATTTAAAATCGTATGGCACTAGCAATGCCAAAGTCATGGGTTCAGTGTCCAGTGAAAGCAGGGACATGGATGATATATTACCTCGAATGTACACACTACTTTTTTTACACACAGTAACAGTAGTTATTTATATGACGTATTTATTGATTTTCTTGGTATTTAAACCCCCTGATATACAGTTTTCTTGATATTTATACATTTTCATTGATAGCTAAATTATTGATTAATTTGTTAACTTGTTTTAATCACAAACATAATTTGTTAGATTTGTTTAAAACAAGAAAACTACAAGTAAGTCACTCATATGTTAATTTTCTTGAAAACTATCAACAGGTCTTGCCCTACACAACCTGTATTTGATCAAGTATAGCGTACTGATTGAATTTACTGTATGTGCATCCTAAATCCCAATTCTTTTACAACAACAATAGTTTTTTTTACTTTGCATAAATACAAAATTTGATTGTAAACAATAACAAATAGATTTTTTTTCTTAGATTTCTTTTCAGATATCACTGCAATGAATATAAAACTATAAATAACATACCCCATTATTAGTTTAGACACTTTTAACAATTAGACATCAAATGAAATGTTATCTATATTCAACCTCTCCTTTACCATCAATATAATTGTTAATGAATCTACTAACATGCAGTTTTCCCTGATGGACTTTATTTGTTATTTTAATATTATTTTAACTATTATTTTAATATTTTCTTTATTTATCTATAGTTTTTATTTTTATTTTAGTTAAAAATTTTAGTCATTTTGTTATATGTTTAAATATTTCAATTTAGCTTTAATTTATGTTTATTTTCAGTTCTAGTTTTAGAAATTGTAGTATTTCAAATGAAACATTTAATTCATTTTAATTTGATTTCATGTTTAAGATTTTTAAGTTTTGCATCTGATATTTATATTTTATTTCAGCTTTATTTCATTTAATGATTTTTAACAGTTTTACTTTCAGTTTTAGTTAAGAATAACAAAACTGGCTCGACTCGCTCATTAAAGGCATGTAAAGACAGCTCTAGCTGATTTGAACAGTATCCTGGAACTGAACCAAATTTTAGTGAAATGCCATTGCCAAATGCCAAATTCAGTTAGTGGAATGCCATTGTGCTGGTACTAACCATCCTGACACAACTTTTCATAAACACTTAATTAGCCTATATTCCCATGAATCCTCAGGCACAGTGTCACTTTGCAAGGTTCCTAAACAGATGCAGAGTTTGGAACTTCACCACCATTATGCAGTATGAATAGAACGCAGCACGTTCTCTGGTCAAAGAGCAGATATATTTAGCCATATGGTCCTTCACATTCTATAAAACGTCCTTTAGAAGGGTCACAAGGTCTTTCTATTTATACAACACCAAATGGTTCCTTGTTAGGAGCTCCTTATAGAGTTTTTGAGTCCAGAGACTCCAAATGAACTGTTAACTTCATCAATATTGATCACAGTCATTCATCACGGGTCATTTCCCTGAGTGAGGCCCTTCGCTACAAACTTTGTAAGAGATTTTGGTTTCACTCAAGCACGTTATAAAGAGGTCGAGGGTGATTTCCTGTTTTCAGATCTTGTTTTACTTTTCTTGCTCTTGATGCTGCTTCTGAAGCCCTGTCCTGCCATGAAGTAAAGGATGGGGTCGATTCAGCTGTTGGCGCTGGCCAGAGGTCGCGTGACCTTGTAGGTCATGCTGGCAGCCTCCAGCATCGAGCAGCTCACATGTTTGTCCAGGTAACGGAAGGTGTAGTATATACTGCGGTTCACGTGGAAAGGCAAGAAGCACAACATGAAAGCCAGAAGCACAATAATAATCATCTTCACCGACTTCTGCTTAAAGTGTTGTGACATTGGACCTCCACCAATACCGGGTTCCTGAAGTTTCTTCACCATCAGGCCGTTGCAAACCTCAAACGGTAGGACAAAAAGCAGAAACATCACCACCGAGCTGTAGACAATTAAGTCATTGAAGAGCTCCTTGCTTGTGGTGTCATAGCAAACCGTTGATTGTGGTGTCATGTCACCGTTATTGTTCATCCTGGAGAAATAAAGAATTGGGGCCTGATGTTCAACCCCAGACCGAACACAAACACCAGAGTGTAACTCACTGGGAGGAGAATGTACTTGAAGTTCTCTTCTATCTTACAGTGATAATGATTGCTAACATTCATTGTGGTTGTGTTGTTAAAAATTGCCATTCGTGTCCTCTTTTGGAAGGCTAAACAAAGTAGTTTCGCTTTCACAACGAAACACACGGTGGGCTAGAATGAGCGGCGGCAGCCTAGAGTGAGCGGAGGCCTGTGGGCTAGAGTGAGCGGAGGCGGGCTTGAGAACGGCGCGGCCGGCGGATTCGACGAAGGAGTGGCTGGGGGGCTTGAGCAACCACATGGGACGACCCCGGGCTGGACTCCGCTTCGTCCACGGTGAAAGCCGATCCGGCGATCCACAGCGCGAAGTTGATGTATTTCCTCAGCGACCAGCACGGATCAGCTCTAGGCATGACGAAGCAGATATCGTCATCTTTTGGAAGACCAAACAAAGTAGTTTCGCTTTCACAACGAAACAGCGTCTTCACGACATGGCGGCAACAACAATACTACAGCGAGAATAAAAGTTACGCCTTCTTTCTTTGCGTGAACATTTGGGCGGCGTTATGCAAATCTTCCCACATCGTGACGTAGACATGTGGGGGCGTGTTAGAACGAGCCGTTTTAGGTAGGCGTGGTTGACTCTTAACTTTTATAAAGAATATCTCTTTGGATTTGAGACTTTAGTCTTTGCAACTTTACAGATCTTCTTTATGCACCAAGAGCTGGTAACACTCCAAAGAGAAAGGAAAAATTTAAATCACATCATATGACCCCTTTAAAGAATCATCATTTACACATGCAAAATTAAAAGCAACTCACCATACTTTCAGTGGTTCCTTCAGTAATGTAACTAACAGTTGTGCCTCCTTTCTGCAACAGACCTGCTGTGCCCCTGCCTGTTTATTCTGCATATATCCGCTGTGGGTGTGTTTACATGCCTCAGCCTGCTCTTATAGGCCACAGCGTCAGCCAATAAATAATATGTCAATCATTCTGGAAGCCCCACACA